GCACTGAAGAAGAAGAAGCGTCCTCGACCACCGCGGGCGCTTTTCCCTGCCACGGTTCGGAGGCTTCTGCTGCGGCGAAGGACCGCACCTGCTGTCAGCGTCGCGGCAAGGGCGGCGTCGGTGCGTGTTCGCCTATTCAGCGGCGCGCATCTGTCAGTGTGTGTCTGTGTGGAGTAGTGTGAGGCAGCGTGTGGTGGCGAATGCGGTGGGAGGCACCCACCGTCTGCGTCTGTGCTCGCAAATTCCCTGCATTCGTTGCCTTGAACTGCGTTGGAGGTTTCTCTTGCGTCGTGCTCGTGCCACAAACTCGGAGGAGAGGCCCCACGCTTTTGTGCATCGCAACGCTGGCGATGGAACTTCTGACTGTTCCCACCACTATTACTATTATTATTATTGCTTTTCCCCTGGGTGCCCTTGTTGTTCTTCGTTGCGGTGGTGCCGACGATGCTGGCCTGGTTTGCTTGTTGTTGTTATTTCTCTGCGTGTGCGGGGGTTTGGGGCTGCGGCGGCGAGCGTGGTGGGCGCCCTGTTGGCGCGCTTTCCAGTCCTGCCCCTTTTTCCCCGCTCCGTGTCCCCTGCTGTTTGTTTCCCTCCCACTGCTCTCGTCCCCCTTCGCCACAGGGACGAATCTGCGCAGCACTCGGGATGGGCTCCACGGAGAGTGCGGGCGTGTTCACGGTCTCTTCCTGCTGCATCGTGCGCATTCGTTTGCGCATCATTTCCCTTTTCACTTTCGCTCCCCGACGAGCACTTGGACTCCACGACCCTGCCGTTCATGGGGTGCTGAGTCCGATGAAAGGTGCCGCACATTCGTGTGTTTCCCCCGGGGTACGTCCGGCCTGCGGCCGTGCACCGTGCGGTGGGAGGGGGTGGCGGGGAAACAGTGTGGGCGGCGCCAACGCAGCGGGAGGGGGTGCGGCGACGTTGCCTCTTGGGCGAGTGCGTTTGGGAGGATCTCCTTCGGCGGTTAGTGCGTGCGTGGGGTGCATTGCCGCCACCGAAGTGCTGCGGGCGGTGTTGCATCTCGCACCACAAGCGTGCTTGGTCGGGTAAAAAAAAGAGGAGAAGCTGAACGGTTTGGGGAGATACCACTTCTTCTTTTTATCCCTCTTCTCAAGCTGCGCTTCTCTCCATTTGCTTTGGGGCGCGGGGCGTTGCAATTGTGGAACTCGGTGGGTTTTCTTGCGTCCCAGGGAGAGGGTTAGGGGGTAAACTTTGCCACGTGCCCCCTCTTCCCCCTTTGGTGCGGGGCCCCATTCGAGAAGTGGGCGCCAGAGGCCCCGCGACGCGACGCGACTGCGGGCGAGGGCTGCGGGTCGGTTGCGGGGGGCGCGACGGCGTGGACGAGTTCCCGTCTACCTGCAGCAGCGGTGGCCGGTGCAGTGAGAATTCTGCGGTGGAGTGGGCAACGAGAGTGTTGTCTTTGCGGTGGCGTGCTTTCTTCTTTCTTCTGTCTAAGGACTAGTGCTGCTGCGTGTGGGGCAGTGGGATGCTTTTTTTTTGTTTGCTCTTTGTGCCATTGGCTCTGGGGGCTTCCGCGTGTGCGTGTGCGGTGGCGTGGGGTCGTGGCGAGCGCAGTGCACGGGCGGCAACCCCCCGCACCCGCCACGCTGTTGCTGTTGTTGTCGCTGACTCTCCCCAACACTCTGCCGGTGAGTGCGTGGGGCACCCACTTGCCGTCGCGGTGGTTCTCCTGCCAGAGTGTGTGTGTGTCGGTGTGACTATTTTTTTTTTGCCGCTCATTCTTCTTTTGGCTGGTGGTTGGTGTTCGGCTGCAGCTCAAGCCAACAACCACAAGTAAATAAGGAAAACAGG